AGGTTCAGGCTCTCCTTGCTGTGGGCAGCCTGCTGAGGATCAGGCTCTGAAATCCGACTCCGCTCCAGGAATGCTCTCACCCCTGCGCGATAGGGGCTGGGTCCTGACAGCGCACCTACCCGAAACTGCTCCTGTTCTCACAGCCCAGCAAACGGAAGATGTCTGCTAAGAGGAGTCAGGGTGACTGTGAGGGTCTCACCCCAAAGGGGAGAGCGCAGAGAGGGTATCCCGGCATGCCCACACATCCATCCATCCGGCCTGTCTCCCGCTTCAGAGACCGAATAGTCCTCACTATGACCACCAGCCTCTACCAGCACACCATGGCTCAGTAACCCATGGGGGAAAATCAACGAGGTTCACAGGGACATCTCCAAATAATCCTTATTTTTCTTCCCTAGACTTGGTGTTTCCACTCCAATAAATAAAATAAAAATAAAATAGAGGCTCAGGCAAGATGGTTCAATGGATAAATGTACTCTCTGGAAAGAGTCAGACAACCTGGCTTGACCCGGAACGGATTCCCGCGGTGGAAGGGAGAACTGACTGCTGAAAGTTGTCCTCTGATCTCCACACGCACAGGGCAGCATTTGAGACCCCACACTCATGCACACACACAACAATAGTATCAATTAATAAGACAAAATTAATGTGTTAAAATGGTCTAAAAATAAAGCAGCAAAAATTTTAAGGTAAAAATACATGAACTAAGACATGGATTACAAAATTAATACATCATACATATATCCATATGTACACACATGTGTATACACGCACACACTTATATTGTTGATATTGTGATTTTATGTGCACATATGCTCTTTTTTGTTGTTTGTTTGTTTTTGTTTTTTCAGGACAGGGTTTCTCTGTAGCTTTGGAGCCTGTCCTGGAATTTGCTCTGTAGACCAGGCTGGCCTCGAACACACAGAGAACCTCCTGCCTCTGCCTCCCCAGTGCTGGGATTAAAGGCATGCTCCGTCACCGCCTGGCTTGTGTGTGTTTTCTTTAGACAAGGGCTCAGGGAGCTCAGGCTGTCTGGAACTCAGTACGCAGCTGAAGATGATCTTTATCTTGACTCTGCTGCTCCAAGCTCCTCGCATGTGCTATAATTAAACTGTGAGCCATCACATCCAGCTTGACCACACACACCTTTGAGACAGGGTTTGTCTTACCAAGTAGCCTTGGCTGGCCTGGAACTGACTCAGTAGACCAGGCTGACCTTGAACCCACAGAGCTCCTCCTACCTCTGCCTCCCAAGTGCTGGGATTAAAGTGTGTGCCGCCATTCTCAGCTCACTTTTTGAAAAAAATAACTTTTATTTCCATGTATTGGCCTACTTTTCAGAAAACATTGTGCGTATGCACACAGTCATGCTGGTGCCCTCAAAGGCAGGACGGGGATTCCCCTGGCTTCCTATCTACAATAACTCCACTGTTATTGTTTCTAGAGACAATCACTTCTGTAACCGAAGAGAGGTCTGTATGTCTCCGAGTACTGAAATTACTGCCCAGAACCGTCAAACCAACCAAGAAACATACTAAAGTCAGTGTTTTCTTTTCTTTCTTTTTTCTCCTTCTCTCTGTTTGAAAAGTCTGATCTCTCTCAACTCCAAGAACACATTCACTCAATCAATATGTCCTGTTTGGTGTCCATGAGGCCCTAGAAATAGAAAATATGGTCCCTCCCAGCAGGGAGCCAGAGAGCCAGCCCCAGTGGAGCTGTTAAGTGCTTCGTAGAGGCCGAGGGCCTCTGGGGAGGCGCCCAGGGGTGGTAACATTTGAACTACAGTTTCTATTCATTCATCAGGCAAATCTTATTGGAAAATTTGGGTTCTGGGATGGCCATTGTGTTGGTTCATGGAGACCCACAGACCAGTAAGGCAGCTCTTCCTATACTGAGGTATATTCTCTCTCCCTCCTTCCGTCCCTCCCTCTCTTTCCCTCCCTCTGCAAGGGATTAAACCAGGGGCCTCACACAGGCTGTACAATGTCTCCTCTTCTGGGCCCCCTGGTGAACTCAAATGCAGATGTGGTTCCTGCTTCCCCTCTAGCACATACGTCTTGACTCTTTCACTTCTTTACCCTTTGTCTTTCTCCGGAGTCAGACTGCATCCGAGGCCTCAAAGGGACCCCCCTAGCCTGAGAGCCTTCCTTACGCGTGGGTGGCGTATACTGCCTTGCTACATCATGGCTGCCACCCCACGCATCTTTGTTTCCTACTGTCTGCGGCGCAGACTCCAGTGCCATTCCTGAGCTGACCTTCAGGGTCTGAAAATGGTGAATTAGAAGACAAGTTAAGCGCACAGCCAGGGAAGGAGATTTTATATAAAGAAAAGGTAACGCCTTCTGAGTGGCTTAGATTTCAGGCCCTGGTGGGCTCCTATGCTTATTGGTCTCATGGCTTTATCTTGCTGCTTTCACTTTTCTTCCTTTAATGACCCCCTACCTTCCCCTCCAACCAACTGCTCTGCCTTCCTTAGCGAAGCTGGTATGTTCTTCCCAACCCCTTCTGTTTCTCTACCTGATGGCTGCCTCGATCCCAGGGTTTCTCCTGCATAGCGTTGACCCTGGCCAGTAAAAGTCACACTTGCAGAAACAGTCACTTAGCGCACCCCTTCAAAGAGTAACGCCTGACAGGATATGTGAGTGCCATTTCCTCTATTGGACCGGGAGTGTCTGAAAGGCAGGGGTCAAGTGCCACCTTGCTTTGTTTATTCCCCGAGAGATCCCTGTGGGCTGAGGTGTGGTTAACGCAACTAATAACAGTCCCAGCGATTGGAGGCTTTCCCTAACATTTGCAGCAGGTAAGCGTGGGTTGGAGCACTAGACCCACAGCCTGCTGATTGGATTTGAATGCTCGATATGAGGACATGATGTGACTCGGTTTCTTCTCAAGTAAAGTGAGGTGCTCCTTCCTGAGGCTGATTCCGGGCTCCCAGCTCCACTCGTGAGCAGGTGATACACCTATCACAGGTATATCTCACTTCCTAGCTGAGAACCGTCACTTCCTCTGTTTCCCCTTTATGCCCTTTAACAATGCCAGTTGTGGCAGTGTTTTGGTTTATTGGTTTGTTTGAGCTTTGCCAAAGAAACTTCCAAAGCGGTCACTGCCAACCAGCAAGGCCATACCTCAGGACCATCATAGGCAGATCTGCCCGGTGTTCTGGTTGACTAGGCAATCTCTCCCTGTATTGGTCCAGCATTTGGCACACAGGAATCTGGCTATCTCCAGCTAATCCCTTTTCAGTTACTGTATAAAGCAGCTTAGAGAGGGGAGAGCCCTCTTTTCGTGCCTCCCGCCTACCAAGCCACACAGGAAGTTGCTGGACTGATATTTTCAGGGCCTTGAACTCCCTCTGTTTCTTCCTCAGCTGAGGGAGGAAGAAGTGTCCCCATGGAGGGAAACCTTCTGTGTTTCCCTAGACTAAAGTTAGAGTTTGCATTGGGCCTTCGAGCAGCAACCTGCTTTAAGCCCAGCTGTACTTTCATTTTTTTGTCCATTACAATTCTGCTAGTGATCCCACGAGCTTCCAGCTTGGTGCCCGAAGCACCCCAAGTGCTCCCCGAGGAGGGAACTTACAAGCACAGCAGTTTCTTTGTGGGTCTGTCCCCAACCAGCAGCTTGAGTGTTCCTTAGGCCATCGCTCCCCTCTGTCCTGTAGCGGTAGCCAGCTCAGAGAATCCTATCACTTTGAATTTGTAGGGTCTGAGCAAACTTGAGAACCCATTTGCAATGCTTTGTGGTCTATCTACCCTAATCGACCTCTTATACAGAAGGTCCATCTCAGACCCCAGCATCCCAGGTACTCAAGTTCCCCAGAATACAATCCTTGTTTCTTAATGACAACTGGCTGAGTTGAATATCCAGGACAAGCCTACTGTTCTTTTAGAGATGGGAAGAAGACGGCGAAGCTTAGAAAAGACAGTGGGCACAGGCCTGGAAGGGACTGAATCACTGGGACCCCTGCAGACCCCGGTCCAGGGAAGAGCAGGACCTTCCCTGAGTGGGAGTGGGGATCAGCTTAAAGGCCTGTGGCATTGGCACCTTCTTTCCCCTCTTTGAAAGTCCCAGGTCCTGCTGAGGTTGATTAAGATAAAATAAAAGGTCTTAGTTTCTTTTGGGGGGCACCATAGATTGAACAGGGGACCCTGCCTATCCTGTGCCTCTGAGCTCACCTGTAGCTGGCCTGGGTTTGAAGGAGGGCATCTTTGGAAGTCTGTAGATGTGGAGAAGGGAGCTAGGGGAAGGAACCTCCCAGCTACTACTCAGATGGAAAGCAGTGGCCTGTATTCCACTGAGGTTGGAAAAGAGCAGGGAAAGTCCCCAGTCTCCTCTCAGAAGCAGAGAAGTCCGGAACTCACCCCTGCACACCCCTCAGATATGGTTACCACACCCCAAGGTGCACACAACCTCAGCAGGCAGGACATCCTGGGGAGCCTCGAGTTTCTCGGAAATAAGTTCACTGGACTGACATGAAGGGAGCTTTTCAGAAAGTAAAGAAAGAAGATGCGACAGGCACAAGGGGTACTTCAGAAGCAAGAGGACAGCTGGTCTGAAAGGCCACGCTGCAAACGAAAGGGGAAGCCATGCCGGTGGAGTCCCAACCTCAACTACCCGCTCTTTTTCTCAGTGCCTCAGAGTCAGAGTCACTGGAGTTTTTGTTTTGGGGTTCTTGGCTCACACACATTTATCGGTTTATGACCTTAGCTGTACCTAACTTCACTTTCTAAAAAACATGCAAGTGCACAGTCAAAACATCCGAATCCCTAAAGAGGGACTCCCTCCCCCCTTCTCTTGAGATCTTTTCCTGACAAGCCTACTCGTCCCACAGGGGACTCCTAGGTAGGGGGTAAGGACCAACCTCTGGTGTTGACCTGGCATCTTTGGAGCTCCGTGCTCCCTCTTGTGAGCAGGGACAGCGACCTGGGCAGGAGCTCCTTGACCTCACTCTCCCTGCCTCTCCCCCACCCCCGCCCCAGCCCCGAGTCTCCCTCGGTCCTTACCTCCATGTCCCCCAGGTAGACCTCTGGCGGCGGACGCCCGTTCGCTCCGGCAGGAGCTCACGATCTCCCGCTGTCCCCTCCGCTTCCAGCCCAGGCCACTTTCCGTGCTGCAGCGGGCTCTGGGCGAGTGGGCGGTGGCGCGCGCCTGGCTGCGCTCGGCTGCGGGACTGCCCCGGCCGGGGGCCCTGCGCCAGAGAACGAGGAAGGAGGAGGAGGAGGGAGGGACCGAGGGACGCAGGAGGAGGGGAGGGGAATGGAGGGGAGCTGGGAGGGAGGCCGGATAGGGGTTTAAATTTAGACACAAATCTAAACAGATACTGTCCCTCCCAGGGCAGGACTCAAGAGTCCGAGCCACGACTCCATTAATCTGCCCAAACATGGGCTGGGCAGCGCCGCGCCCCCTTTCTCGCGAAGTTTCTCAGGACCCCGGGCTTTGCACGTTTTCAGACCGCATCAACTCCTCCTCTTCTAGCCTGTATTTTTTATTTTCCTTGCCTCTCAAATTAAGGTTGCCTTTTCATTCTTTTCCTCTTTGCCATTTCCATCTTTTCATACCCATCTTCCCAGCCTCGTCCTCTTCCCCTCCACTCTTATCTTTATTACGTCGCCGCGTTACCTAGCTTTCCCGGATTCGGCAGCCTAATAAGAACACCTTGGTCTTGACACCTCTTTTCTTGTCATCTTCCAGAATTCCATTTGCAGGAAACAGTTATCAGTTTGTCGATCTGTTATCTCTTTGTGGAGGAGAAGGAGGGAGGGAGGGAGGGAGGGCTGAACCCAAGTTCAGTTTCCAAGTTTCCTGGAGCATCAAGCTTCTCTTCACTGATGTAGGCGTGCCTGGGGGGTTGTGGGAATATCTGCTCGCACAGGCGGCTTGCTAAAGGGCCTCTTTTCCCCTTTCCATTCCTATTAAATATAGCAAGGGCCACGGTCCTAAACATCCGATTCACATAAGGCCCAGCTTAGCAACTCTTCCCAAGAGAGGTAGGTTTGTACAGCCCTCCGGACAGCAAAAAGGCTGTGTGCGAGGGACCTAGGGACTTTGAATCTGTGCCAGGGCCATTGTCTGCTACTGGATTATACCTCTAGGTGCTCCTTCTGGATCCCATTTCCCAGGGGAAATGACTTCAGGGGACTGGCTAACAAGAATGTCTGTACATCTTCTTACAGCATCCCTCAACTTTGTCCTCCAAACCAGGACCTGCTGCTATGCAAGGGAGAGTGAGAACGAACACAGTGGCCGGACCATAGCATAGGTGCATGGACCATAGGATAGGTGCACGGACCGTAAGATAGGTGCACCGACCATAAGATAGGTGCACGGACCATAAGCTTGGTGCACGTTGGTGCTGCACCTGGGCAAGGAGTCCAAGAGAAACCACTACCGGAAACCAGCAGGGCCCGCGCCCACATTGCAAAAAGCTGTCCTGACTGCTTCTCATCACAGTTGGTCTGTGGACTTTGAGGTCACAGACCTTCTAAACCTTACTTTGTAAAACACGATGTCAGGGCAGACTCTAGTTCATTGAACTCAGCAGAGCATAGGGGCAAAACTTCGGCCTTCAGAAGCAGATGGAGGGTTAGACTCTAATCCCCTGCTTTCTGGCTGTGTTCCTTTAGAAAAAAAAAACCCACTTATCTGATCTTCATTTGGGACATCTTTACAGTGTAGCCACCGCTCTGGAAAGAGTGTCTGTTTTCATAGTGCACATGCACAGGGGTCAGATGGATAAGCAACCCATAGTCCTTTTATTTAGAGCCAGGCATTCTGGGGCCCAGAGAAAGAGCTGTCATATCCTACCTACACAGCTGCAAGGAGAGTCTAGAACAGAGACTAGATGGAAGCAAGAAAGGAATGTCTTGCTGATCTTGAATTTTTTATCCCCCTGCCTCAGCACCCTGATACTGGAGTGGCAGGTGTGTGCCTCCAGGTCAGCCTGACTTTCTTCTCCTTAGAGCTGGGCGCTCTTTTCCACTCTGACACAAGGGCATGAGTCTTTCCGACTCCACCAACAGGAGGGCGGAAGTGCCTACCCAGAAGAAACCGTTAGGCCCAGATAATATCACAGCCACCAAGGTGTTCCGGCAGCTGCTCTCTTGCCCCACCCTGCACAGGGCCTCCCTGATCTGAGAACAGATGATGCACAGGCAAATTCCACAGCCTCTTCATGCTCCTGGGACCCAGTGCCAAGCAGGTTGTGGCTCCGGAGCTCTGCCCCGGCAGGGCCCTTCTCCCTGGGAAGGAGTAGAAAGGAACGTGGAAATCCAGGGCTTCATCCAGCAATCTGGAGTATGTGTGGGATGTAGTCTCCCTGTACCCTCCCTCCCACCTCTGTTGAATATCACCAGGGACCAGATGGAGACAGACAGTCTGGTAAACACCCAGCTCTTCTGACAACCAAGGGGAAGAGAAAGTGGCTGTCTTCATCCTCCTCTCTCGGCTCCCCAGGGTCTAGCTGGCTCAGAGGGACCCACTTCCTCCACTTTCAACCTGAGCTTCCGCTTTGCATACTCACCAAGCAAGACACAGAGGCAAGACTATGGAATACCAGTGGTGCAGCTTGGGCCAGGGAAGGGCAGGAGAGGAGGTGCCCATGTAGACAGGCAGCCCTCATGCACAGGTTGCCAACCAATATTTGGTGACTGTCTATGTGGGAAGATAAAAGAACAAAGAGCAAAGCAGATTGATGGAATCCACGCCTGTAAACAAAAGGCAGGGTTGTTTAGTGATTACACCAGCACCTGTGCTTGGTCCTAGGGGAAAAACGACCTCATGGAAGGAAGAGATGACCATCAAAGGCTTAAATGGTAACCAGGTAGACTGATTACAAGGAAAAATGCAAGGGGCTCCAACTGGTGGCCTCTTTGTGAGTGGCCATCTTGTGCTGCTGATCACTTCAGTAATTACTTTTTAAATCTGAGGTAGGATCTCTGTTACAGCTTCATTCACTGTAGTGAAATTCCCTGGTCAAAAGCAACATAGGGGATGCGGTGCTACTGGCTCACAATTCCAGTTGCAGCCATTATATTAGGGAAATCAAGGCAGGTACTTATACAAGCACATCCACAGTCCAGATCAGAGGTTAAGCACGTGGTCCTCGCTTGCTCTACAAGCTTTCTTCACTTTTACAGCCCAAGGAATGGTGCCACCCACAGTGGGTTGGGTCAATTAGCAATCAAGCCAATCCCTCCACAGACACACCAACAAGTCAACCCAAGTTAAATAATTCCCCCTCAAGACTCTTCCCAGCTGGTTTTAGGTTGTATCAAGTTGATAGTGAAGACTAGCCAGCATAATCTCTCTGTGTCCCAGGCTGGCATCAAATTGTAACCTACCTGTCACAGCGCTGTGGTCACCGGTGTGTACCACCACTCCTGGCTTGATTGTCTACTTTTCATATTTAGAGCAAGAAGAAAATATTCTTGTCAGGCAGTGGTGGTGCATGCCTTTAATCCCAGCACTCAGGAGGCAGAGGTAGATGGATCTCTGAGTTCAAAGTCAGCTTGGTCTATAGAGCAAGTTCCAGGATAGCCAGGGCTACACAGAGAACCCTGTCTTAAAACAAATAAATAAACAAACAAAACCCCCAAAACAACAAAAAAAAAGAGAAAGAAAATATTTTGAGAGAATATTCTCTAGTGAGTATATATACTAACTAAAATATACATACAGTTGTCTCACGATAAATGGTTTCAGGAACACTCCTTGATGTGGGAAGTCCTTCTGTATATGTGTTGCTTTCATTGGTTAATAAATAAAGAAACTGCTTCCGGCCAATGGTTTAACAGAATACAGCCAGGCTGTAAGAGACATATATAGAGAGAGTAGGTGGAGTCAAGAAGATGCCATGGGGAGATATCAGAGGAGAAAGACGCAAATTGTTGGTTAGAACCTTGCCGGTAGACCACAAGCCTTGAGGTAAAATATAAAATAATAGAAATGGATTAATTTAAGAGATAAGAGTGAGCTAGGAATATGCATAAGCTAATAGGCTAGGCAGTGTTGTAATTAATACAGTTTCTGCGTGGTTATTCCAGTTCTGGGCAGCTGGGAACAAGCAATGGCCTCCCTACAACACTGCATTCGACAGATACCCAAATCTCTGGTGCTCAAATATTTTGTATACAATTGCATGATACTTGCATATAAGCTTTGGATAGATTTTTATATACTTTAAATCACCTCTAGGTTATTTTTTTTTAATTTTTACATGTATTTATTTGTTCTCTCTCTCTCTCTCTCTCTCTGTGTGTGTGTGTGTGTGTGTGTGTGTGTAAGAGAAAGAGAGAGAGAGAGCACCCACATACTATACAGGTCAGAGACAACTTTTGAAAGTTGCTTTTCTCTGTCCACTACGTGGGCTCATGGGGTCAAACTCAGGTCTTCAAGCTCGGTGACAGGCACCTTGAGCCACTGAGCCGTTGCCCTGGCCCCTGATTACTTCCAATATCTACGCTAATGTAAGTGCTGTGTCAGTCGGTGTGTTGTTTGGGAATGAGGAGAAAGGAAATGTCTGTATAAGATCAATACAGATGCGTTTTTCCCTGAGTATTGATTGGATCCATGGATGCAGAATCACAGAGAGCTGACGGTCTACATTTCAGCCCTAAATCCTGGGACTGTAATAAAACAGGACAAACAGAACACCTAAAGGCCCCCGATTCATTCTGCCACAGAGAAGGGCTGGGGGATTCACGAAGAAGGCTTTCAACAGGCCTGTGGAACAGTGGCTCTGTGGAGATCAGTAGAATAGCCCCGTAGGAAAATCAGCAATAATGTCAAGAAGGGTAGGAGCCAGTTTCCTCACTGAAGTGGCTCACACCTCTAATCTAGCAATCAGGAGGCAGAGGCAGGCAAATCCCTGTGAATTTGAGGCCGGACAGAGCTACATAGCCAATTCCAGGCCAGCTAGAGCTCCATAGAGATATCCTGTGTTAAAAACAAACAAATAAACACGCAATGTTAAAGGGCTAGGATGACCCTGTGGTTGTGTGGTGAGGAAGTGAGGAAGCACACAGGTGGTGTGCACAGTTTTCAGTCTGTAGACATGCATGTACTGATAAATGTATGTATGCGCGCGCATGTGTGCGTGTGCGTGTGCGTGTGCGTGTGTGTGTGTGCAGTTCCTACTTTTCTGCACTGAGGTGGCCTGAGAGCATTGGCACCCCAGAAGCAGCAGCACACACTCCGACCATTCTG